GACATGAAACTCAACTGAGGAGTTTTAAATTTTAGTAGCGTCGCCATGGTGTCTATCGAAATGAACAAGCCTTGCTACATTTTAATTTTGTTGTTGTTGACCTGTCAATCACGCCTTTGATAATCACCGGGTTGTTGCCAACATTTTGAACAGATGAAGTAAATTTCAAAACAAACTGCCTGACCAATTGTAACGACTTATCAACATCTGACTGCAGTTCTTCGTGTAATCAAGGGGTGAAAGGGGTGTAAAACGTGATTTGTTGTTGTTGTTGTCAGAATTATGTTTTCATGAAAAATTTAAAGTCGCCTACAAGTATTGATTTTACAAAACAAATTAATTAGAAACATTTCTGTTTTTGCTTAGCCCGAGTTGATATCTAATTACACTGGAGAAACACTAATATCTGTAAATACCTGTTCAGTTTCACAGAAGTTAGCGACATGACCATCATCGTTGGTTCCTCGTACATTGAATCTTGTACCGGCCCTTTCACAGCTGAGTCGTGAAATCAAACACGCTTTGCATTGTTTATTTCCATTGTATATGGTCCTGATTTCTACACCTCCACACATGGTTTTCAGTAACCATTCTTGACAATTCACGTTGAACCTCTGCAAATGAAGATGTAATGTCCGGTTCCTGTGAACAGGAATAAAATAATATTGGAAAGATAGTCTTCATCTTGAAATGACTATTCGTTTACACAACAGAATTTTATCAGAGCTCAATTGCTTGAGCCAGCAAAAATGACTTTGTATACGAGTTCGGCTCGAGCCAAGTTTGGCTCCAATAAAACCTGGGGTTGGGCCCGACATGGCTCACGCCCTTAATTATCTTCTTCAATGTAACATCTCATTTTAATTATGGCGGAGACAACATCGTCTGTAATTTCTAACTTGATGAAGAGGTACGTGCCCCGATATCTATTTGGCAGTTTAATTTTTGCATGGTTCGCAGAGGTGGCTCCCTGTACTGAAATTTCGTTTAGGGGTTATATATTTTAATTTCTCTGCTGGGGGCGCTGTATTTTTTGTATTACCGCCGATGTACACAACACACCATACAACACGTCATTCAAGCAGCGAAAAACAAAGTATTCATTTCAATGTTTTTATTTGAAATGTACAGCCAATAAATATTTTTTATCCGTGCCTTTTAACATGACTGATTTTGTAATGATTCAAAATGAATCAATGGGTCAGCTTGTTGAATGATTTAATGGGCAGAAGTCTTTAAGAAAAAATAAACAATGTTGTTGCTTGTAATAGATTTTATTTTGTTTATAAAATGCAAATTTCATTTTTTATTCCATAACTGTGATAAGACGTTTCCCAAGAATAATATACCAATGTATGATTTTCTTTTGCACTAATAATGCATTAGGAAGTTAAAATAATCAGAAAATAATCTAGAAAACAACTTGGAGCATCTGTGATACATTTAATTGGATTAGAGGGCAAACTGTTGCCCAGTGACTGATAGCAAAGTGGTTATTGTTGCATTGGACCTACTGGTAGTAACACTAATTAATACATATGTACTGCAATTTATTTGGATTTGTTCCACATCGTATGCAAATGAGGTCTGAGAGCAAACAAAGTAGTTCTTTCAGGAGTAATGATTTTCGAAACATAGCAGAAATAAACAATATTTAGAAGTACGATATTTTACTATTCGAGAACATAAATATACTTGCCAAGTGAAATAGAATTTGAACTACTGCTATTTTCAGCCGGTTCAAATTTTTGGCAGTAGGTATACATCAAATGGTTCCGAAATCAACATATGGACATAAATAAGCTCACTACAATCATGAAGTCAATGTTGAGGACTTAAGTGGCAAACTGAGTAATCGCAGTGCATGTAGTAAAGCCTGCATTCAATGTCTCGTTGCCAGTGTACCACCAAACACATCAACACATCAGCACATCTAAGTGGAAACAAGAATGTCGGCAGTCTAAACTGATACTCAGTTTCAAAGAAAGATCACCAACACCAAATGACCAACATTTTAACCGGTAACCAAGACTCATTCAATCCACGACTAGCAGGCAACATCACAAACACAGTCAATGACAAATGTCATCCCGTCAGTGTAGTATCGCAGTTGCATGGCATGTATGTCAATGCACAATTCTGTGGAGAAACTTTTAATTTCAACAT